CTCACGGTGATAGATTTTGAGCATTAAACGGATTTGGGTCACTGCTAGATAATTTGCTTTGTTTGTGTGCAGTAAAATTGCACTGAAAATAAATTACCATTAGGTCACGTGACTACTCACTGTGTTGTATAGCAACTACCGTAAACAAACAAGGCAATCTGGGTGGTAAATTAAGTTTCAGGTTGAACCACATGACTGCTTTGTATAATCTTCTTTGCGCCTCTGTTCCATGTCTACGATGTGGTGGCCGCGAGATAACATTTTATATCACTAAAGTTTACCTACTTTGTTTATCATGGTTGGCTGTCTCATGTGATCACGCCCGAAGTTCTCCACTAGAGTTTCTTGTAATTAGTTCCACTCCGTTTTGCTATCAGATGTCAACTTTGTGTTTTACACTCAACAGTGTCCAATGACAAAACACTTCCCATTGCCTCGGTTTAAACATTCTAAACCCACCGTTAAACATTAGGGAAATCTTGACTTTGAATAGTTTGTCTCGTTAAAATGACGTTTTAACTGGAGAGTCAGTAGCTCTCTAGTTTGTCCTTATCAATATTTGATGTTCGGTGTCCCCGATCTTTTGAGCGGCAAAATAAATTGCTCTTGGTTGTGTGAAGTTTTGGAGAACGCTGTGCAGACCACTATAAAAAGTACTATTATTGTGAATATACATTAATTTGCAAAATAATTTGGTTTTTTTCGAGAGACTCACCTGGAACCCAGCTGAATCTCGCGTTTGTAATGTTCTCAGGCAACTGAGGTTGACGGAAACCCGGGGACTGCGCCTAGCTAATGAACCCCGAAAAGGGCAAAACCGATCGTGGGCTGTCGACGGATTTTCAGCAACCTTATGAGTAGTACATTGCAAAGATATACTATTATTGTGGTTCAGACACGTTGTTAGGACCATCTAAGGAGCTTAATGCTAATAAGAGGCCTAATTGACGATTCAGGAAAGAAATGACATATTTTTTCTGGCAAAAACGAACTAAAATTGTACATTACTGCATCTACTAAGCACTCTTTTCTGCATGGCATCCGTATATCTATCACAGATACACAAACAATAAGCTTCTAATACTGTCCGAATAACGTAGACTCAGATTTTGTCGTAGGTTCAAGGCAGTACTTCCTACGACAATGACTTCAGCTTTAAGACAGTTGAAAAACGAGGGCTAAAAAGTGCATGTTCTGATGGGCACAACTCCAGTTCGTCCCAGGTTTTTTTTTTAGTTTATTGCAGTTGTGTCGGTTGACTGTAATACGTGGAATTTCTTGCGAGTTTGTTCATACAATGCGAAAAATGGGTGATCGATATAAATTTCCCCGGATACAATTGCGAGACGGTTGTGAACACTTATGTTATCAATGATCTAGTGAAATTTCCGCTTTCAGCATATTTTAGTTACAATGATCGTATTACCGTTTTGCAAGTTCATTCCAGATCATAGAAAACATCCTAATTACTGCACTGAGGACGATCTGTCATAGATACAAATGAATTGGCATGTACAAAGTCCTCAGTAAATTGGAATGTAGCTGAAAATGTCCAAATTATGGAATGTTTTTTCTTAGTAATCTTGGTAAAATAGCCAATATGGCATGACGTTTGTGGGTTTCTTTTTGACCACTAGTCCGAAATATCACATTTTCATTGGAAAGCGAGTAATTGATTGGTTAAAATGAATTCAGTAGTATTAGAATTTTATGCGCGCAAACACACCAGTTCATGAGTGTACAGATCATTTCTACAAGCGTTCTCTTGAAAAACAATAAGAGATGGAGGATGCCTTAATTATTTTTTGAATGAAACAACCTGAAGATGGTAAACATTGTGCCAAAATGTTCTTTGGGAAAACCTCTTCCTCCTTAATAAGAAGCAAAGAGTTCATCTATCGTTAAAGAATGAATAGTTTCTTTAAAGGAAACATACAACTAGATATGCTGAGTCTTCCGGGTTTTCTAGTACACGCATTTACACAGGTGTTTCAGCAAACCCACGTTAAGTGCTTATTGTTGTGTTTTGATGGGGCCGATTGTTGGCCTAGGCACAAGACGCTTTGAAACGCAAACCGAACTGCAGCGAAACCAACTGTTAGTGCATGACACGTTAGAATGTGCACGTAACCTGATTGGTTGGTACTAAAAGAGGCCGAGACTGATGGCTCACCTCCGCACCACAACCGATCCGATCAATGTGCGCGCTCTGTCGTGAGTGACACTTTATTCAAAGTTAGAGGAAGCCACTAACATCTGTGTACGAGGTTTCACGCCGGCTTTCTTGTGTGGCACCTACTGATTTAATTTCCGGGACCGTAGTGGCCCAAGCCGCCGTCACTGTGAGCGTTTTGGGACCGAAGCAATTAAGTGAATTTCTTTTCACTTGATTAGTTATGAAACATGAGTTTCTGTCTATACTCATGGCGTACCTATATGGAAGAAGGTCAGAAGTCTGTCTTCATCTTTTGTTCCATCTTTATGAAAGCTTTCAGTTTAGGGGCAAATAGAACACAAAGAATGCTGATTGCTAAAAGTTTAATCCGTTGAGTTCCAAAGGCCTTTACTGATTTGCCCACACAATCCACGGCGACACTTATTTAGTTAGTAGTCATGATTGTACTTACTCGTTTTTTCTTTTGAGTTTTGTGCCCAATTACACTACTTTATTTCGCTGGAAACACAACGCTACTCGTCCCAAACTGTGTACTCATTCGGGCTGAACTGAGCACTACTCATCAACTGCACTTCTTGCTGGCGTCAATAATTCCAGGCCTAATTCCGTATGCATTTCCATGGTTGAATAAAAATCCAAAATTAAAAACACCGATGAAACATTTTTCTAAAGTTGTTTCGTTGTTTTCGTCAAAATTTCAAATGAATCGGATTCCACATTTGATCTCGAACAGTTAACACTACCCGTATTTGTTAGTTTGATGAGTCCTGTCCGTCTTATCAGCGTGTGTCCAATCTAAAAAGTCAACTGATTGCATCCATTAACCGCGTTAGTTCGTAAGCTGGGGATTATTATCAGCTTAAATGATCTTTTAGCCAGCTGACTGAGTTTTTTTTGGTTACGAAGAGCCTTATCCACACCGCGTTTTTAGTTGAGCTCTTGGCATTTTCTACCAAATCGCCAACCTATTTCAATACTCACCTGAAGCCAATATTAGATGTTGCATTATAACCTTTGACCGCTAGTTCCAAAGTTTGTAACGTTCTATTAGTAGAGGTTCGTGAACATTTCGGGTGTTTGGTCCACATGAGTTTGAACTTTTGCAGTTACAAATCGGTTTGTAAACCAATAAGCTACAAAAAAGGACTTTGCTTTAGAGTGCACTGCCTTACGTCATGGACACGATGCGTTTTGGCCTATTCCAGAGATTGCAGTCAGTGGTAAAACTATTTTCATAGGATTTGAAGACGGGCGTTTTTTTCGACTTGGCTACAGACATACAGGAGAAATGAAGAAATCAACAATTATATTTAGAAGCGTTGTAAAATTCTCAGCTTGCAAGGACAGGCAACCAATTTAGCAACCGGCGACAACGAGTGAGGATTAGTCGAAGTTCACCGCCATTGTGAAGAACCTTGGCTAAATTTCTTCGATCTGTACCGAGAATACAACTTTGGAAAGTGTTTTATGGGGTGCACAACTTAGAAATAGTGCAGGTAAAATAGTTTCACTAGCACTTAACGCGCACAAAGCACTATCAACTTACAGACTTGAGAAAAAACTTGACAAAAGAAGTTGGAAATACTTGGATAATGAATTATTTCGATCGACAACATTGTGGATTTTTGCGCCAGCGAGCATTTCTATCCGTTTTTAAAGAACACTGGGGTCCTTTTTAAAATGTTTATGAAGGCCAGACCTCACACTTTTGGCCGTAACTTTTCCGGTAACCATATCCTGAGGATGTAATAAATTTTTCCCGATTCACTGAACTTTCTCACAAGGAAGCACCCACGTGAACGAAGCAATAGGGTGTTCTGTTATCAGTAAATGAATACTTAAAATTGGCTATCAACAGCAGTCATCACGAAAACTAGCCCGAGTCATCATTGGGCCGTTCGACAATAGGCTTGCTTTTCTGGTAATTTTGAAGACCTCGCAACGAGTGAATCTGAAAACATACATTTGCAGGTGGCAGCCTTCAGTATAAAGTCAAAGCATATCTGGTAATGTGGTGAAATATTGGTAGCTCGGGTGAGTTTATTGGTTGTTGATCAGGTGGCTGTCGATCTGTTCGCCGAGTTTGGCAATTAGCTTGCAAGCCGAGCTCGGCGAACAGATCAACAGCCACCTGATCAACAACCAAACAAAGCACATCTCTTGACAGTTACCAAGGTTTCCTCATGGGCATTGACCGATCAAGAACAACTGACTGACTACTGACCATCGTCGAGTAAGGACAACTCCATCTGAGCGATGTTAACCCTTTCGGCTCAACAAATCTAATATATCGGCTCAAATATATAAGTACAGAAGACGAAGTCAACCAAACCCAGTTGTACCAGTCTTGACCTTCAGTAGTGACTATTGATTTTAACCAGTTTGCCTTTTACTCCTTATTTTCATCGATTTTTTTTCAGTTTATATACTTTGCTCAGATGGTGTCATTCATTAGTAATCAGATACACGAAAGAACTAATTCGTGTTCGCATCCAAGAAGGTCATCGAATGAATTTACAATGAGATTAATGGCAGTAAACATCAAATATAATTCGAGAAATACACTCATTTGCAAATCAATTTGGTTTTCACGGGAGACTCAATTGAATCTCTCGTTTATGATGTCCTCCAGCTGAATGTGCTGCACACAGGTTGCCTCATGATTCAGTTGGCACGATCTTCGAAAGGTCAAAAACGAGAGATTCAATTGAGTCTCCCGTGAAAACCAAATTGATTTGCAAATGAGTGTATTTCTCGAAAACAGTGTAATTTGGGTTCAAGTAGATCATAAGGTTGACGGAGACTCGGGGACTGCGCCTACCTGATGAGCCCCAGAAGGGCAAAACCGGTCGTGGGCTGTCGGAGAGTTTTCAGCAACCTTGTAAGTAGTTTCCTTTATCAAATGTTATTGTTTATTTTATCAAAGACGACAATGGCTTTATTGTCGCTACTGTTCCAGGCATTGACAAACACATTTCGGCAAACGGCAACATTTTCCCATCTAATCTAACTTAAAAAACACCAAGGTAAGGAGCTTCCCCTAGGAAAACAAAGTCCCCATTGTGATTTCCGTATTTACCCAGGCAGTAACCCACTATTCGATGAAAATGTTATGGCTTGAACACTCTGTTAGGAATTTGGAAGGATAAACATCCCACTGTGACTATCCCCCCTAAATCAACGCTTCATGAAATAATTTTTAGATAAAACAAGCCGCCTTGGACCAGGTATGAGGTCGTGGACAGATAAACTACCAATTGCAAGTTGTCCGCCAGAACAACTTCTCTGGAAACAAGAAGTTCGCCTTCAATAAAATATCGATATAGCAGGTGTTTTTTTATGCCACTTATGCATTTTGAGATTCGTAAAATGCTAGGTAACGTCCCTACAAACAACTGTCAGTAGGTTATTCGCCAATGAGCGGTTACAACTTGCTTATAGGCGAAAAAATCCGTGATCTGTTCCATCGAATCTCACATGATTACCTTCAACTTGGTTCTGCTTATCTGCATCTGACAAAACAGAAATTAACCAACCCCACCTCTAAAACTAGTATTTCGCCAATCCGGAAATGCAATTAAACTAACAAGGAGCATGTAACAGGGTCGATGGCGAGCCGAAGGGATGGGGGTCGATGATTTTGATGTGTTCTGATGCTGTTGTTGACGGTGTTAGATGACGTCAATGGCGTGTGGGATAAATTAATTGTGGAAAATATAGCTACCTTATTTCGGAAGGAAAACTCGTTCCTTAGTGGAGTTGCCAGTTTCCAAATGCAGGATACAGTCTCAACAACATTCGCCTTTTGTCACGTTCAGAACCGCTTGGCGATTGCGAAGATAAGAACTCTTAGCAAATGCAGAATATTGGTTCCTACCAGTCGCTGACCTTTTCGGGCGAATTTTTATGTTCGTCTGTCCATTAAGAGGATGTGATCATCGATCCTGTGCTGGGTCCTGAAAACTACCAAGCCATGAGCCTAAACTTTTGCCGCGTGTATGCAAAAATAAGTGGCCCAGTGTTCGAAACTACCAAAGAATTCATTATTCCCATGCTGATGAACCTTGATAAGGATCAAAGCACTCATCTGACTGGAGTTTCTCCAGAACTCATCACAGGTTAGAAATGTAAGATTAGCGGTGCTTGGGCACAGTTCAAATTCAGTAATAAACTTGACGAGGGATAATGTTCCTCTCTGTGCTAGTAGTATATCAATACAGAAATAGTAAGTATTTGTTACCTGACGCACTTTTATAAAGGGCCGTTACGTCAAACCTGATTGCTACTCAATCATCATCGGAATAGGTGAACTAGAGGGTGCTAACAAAGTCAAGTAATCCACGAGACTTACTACTAACTGATAACATAGTTTTAACAAGTTGTCTGAGTACTTGCATAGGTTATAAGTTATACATGTGGTATAGTGCACGACAGGACATATAAATGTCTGTTTTCGGTCACCCATAGAATATTTTTGGTCTGTTGAATACAGGCGGAAGTGGATACCATTGTGCTTGATCAAGTTTGGGTTTTGCTTGTTGTATGTAACCACTCACTCGAAGTTTGGTCGTGTCGAGAGTGGGGCGTTCTTTCTGCGGTTTGGTATTCTCCACTACAGCCCTCATGTGGTCTCCCATTGCAATTTATTGAGTTGTTCACACAACTTTTAAGTTTGAGTGTAAAATAGCTGGTTGAATCGAACGAAAGTGATTGTCCTGTCAGGACAGCAACATAAGTAAATACTTGCTTACTGCCTTCACAGGTTCAGTATATCCCACTCCAATTAATAGGTTGAGTACACAAACAGACTTGAACTTCCCTCTGGGAACCAAGATTGTTCCGTATGTCCATTTGATCGGAACGTTCACTGGACAGTGCTACCATGCATTGTAGGCACTCATCTGCCGTTCACACTCACACATGAGCGGTGATGGATATGGTTTTCAGAGTGTCCAGTTCATCTTCACACCATCGTGCACGTGTTACCTGTAAATGTGATTTAAAGTGCATGCACAAGGCGCAGTCAAGTGCACACAGCAACAATGGCCCATCTACTCATGCTACTAGGCAAGCTACTGAATTATATACCAGTTTGAGAATTAAAATGAGCCGGAGCTCTTGGGGCCAACCAACGTCACAGATTTTGTTTTGAACCTGTTTGATTCTAAACATACACTCAAGATAATCACTAAAGTAGTCTCCTCTACCGAGATTTTTCATTTCATAATATTAGGCAGCATTGAGGATTTTCACACTTTGATTGAACTTTCACGTCAATATTTTTTGCGTGTTTTTCAGCGTGGGAATCTCAGATCAACATCGATCAGCTAAATCAAAACGGTGTCTAACTAACCGTCAAGAACCCTTATTTCCGTTTGTGAACAAAGAAGTCTGTGAGTCTTCAGTTGATACTGTTTTCTGTGAGTAAAGCCAAACTATGCTAAAAAGGTGAGGAGCAGCGTACAAATGTTTTACCCCTATTAAGATTCAAATCCCATTCAAGAAATTTGTTCCTTTGTTTGAATATGTTGTATATTGAGAACCTCCGTCAACCCAAAAAAATAATTACTAAATAGAACAGTTTTTCTCTTATTTTTATGCGCCATTACTTGAAAAGAATGAAATGGTGCTCGTATTTCGACCCAGTTATTTGCACAAAACTTCCAAGTGACGTCAGCACGAGGAACGGCTATCCCCCAAACCAATTTAGTACATCAGCTGGAGGCTGGTGCATGCACCGTGTGATTTTTTAGAAAAAATTTGCAGAAAATAATCCGAAACTCTATCGTAGATAAAACTGGTACTTACCATAATCAACTGGTTTGAACAACTAAGACATTTAGACTTTTTTATAACAGATTTTATATATGCCACCAGAAAGGGCAGGGCGATATTGATATTGATACTGAGGAAACACGATCCAGTTGATCTTGTCTGCTTCATATTAGTTACGATTTACAGATGAAACAGTTAGGGAAATCAAGCAGACTATAACTCCCCACATCACTAATTAGAAGAACTGATAGGCTGTTGTTCTTCTATGATCCTGGGTTTATGGAAATTAGGTACGAATCCTCACAACGATTGATTCAGAGCACAATATATTGCTCTGCCTTCAAACAAATCGTACTCCATAATCTAGTTGGGCTGAGTGTCCTTAATTGCGCCTCAGTCCATATCCGGTACAGTTGCCAGATAAACCGAAGAATTCCCCCTCCTTAGTGACTGGTTTAACAGATTTTATCACTGGTCGGAAAACTGAATACTGCCTTTTAAATAAATCTAATCTACCGTCTGATCTGATCTACGTCCTTTTGTTTACCATTCACAGCACTGGAAAGGTAAGTCATGGCAACTCCTAACTCGTTTGCCGTCCAATAGTTAGCGTGTTCATGCAATCTAATCAGAACAGATCGCAGTAAATATTGTAAATTCTGGTTAACTAAGCTAGGTTGTGTTAGGGCGGTAAGAGAAATAAAGAAAGACAAAGGAGGGGATGGGCTGGAAGGAAGGAGTAATTGTGGGTGGGTGTCTCGTACCCTTTTTATTTACTCCGTTTGGGAAGGGGAGGGTAATTCAAATTCACAATTAACGATAAAACATCCATAAAGGGATATGGACCGCGAGATGTGGATCCCGTGATTGAAGGATGAGCGCCTCGATATCCTATCCAAGTGCGAGTTAATCACATTGTGGATCAGCAGCCCGTGGCCGAACGGTCAATTGTTCAAACTACTAGCCAAGAGGTCACGGATTCGAGTCTCTCCATGGTTTCGTGGGATGTGCACTGCTGATGACTTCCAATACGGATGAAACACCTGTGCAGTGCTTCTCGGCTTTTCAACATAGACTGGCTTCAATTACAGGACAAAATCTCCACAAAAATCCCAAGTCTCCTCACACTACCAACAGCGAAAATCTGTCGAACGGCGGATGCCCGCGGCACTTTTTTTCAGTTTTCACAAGGCGTACAAGTTATTAAAGAAGGACTTGTAAACATACTTGTAGTATGCAGGTTTCCAGTACAACTAAGTCTTTTAGGAGTGATTCTGCTTTCAGGCACTTTCAGTCGAAGCGTGCTCACAAAGTGAATTAAGCTTGCGGATGACCTCGAAACCGCATGCTTGAAAGACTTGGTGATTGGCAAGTTGAAAGTCATATGTGAGCGGTAAACTTGTGTAACAAGTATAATCGTTCTGTGATTACATTCAAATAGCTCTCCATCTAAGAGAGATGAACATGCGATTTCTGTTAATCCTGCAGCATCAGCCAAGTAGGTATACAAAATTGACGAAAACTCAGTCAATCCACCTAAGGTTTGAAAACGATGCAGTCTATGGGCAGCATAAGGCATTTTTATTGACTCTGTCGTTTGAACTTCTGGAAGACGTTCAAGATTTTTTGGAATATGACTCAACTAGTTGCTCATCTCAACGAATATGCCTTTCTCAATCAGGATAACTCACATGACAATTATCTGACTTTTACATCAGCCATCATTGAGCAATACATGCCATTTTATTCTACCAGATTTTATTCTACAAGATTCTTTTCAAAAAGAAAGCGTTTCAGGTTGCTCGTGAAACTGGTACGTCTGGTGTTATATTCCATAAAGAATGACAATTGTTTTTCTTTCATACAACTTTCAATCAAAGACCAGGAGACGGTAGTCGCCTTCAAAATCTACAGGCTAGCTTCCGCATGCTGACTAACAGTTGCCGCTTTCCTCATATCTATTCAGTTAGGAAGTTCTGTGCTCTGCAGAGATGAAATTTCATACAGTATTTCACCTTTTACCGCCAAGCCTGTTAAAGGCCGTTTGTAGTTACACCTTGACATGACTGGATGTGACGGGGACAGTTAGGCAGCATATGGACCTGCATACTTCACTATTCCAATGTTCAGCTAATTCAACCAGTCTGTCTTACTAGAAGGCAGTCAAAGGTTTCTTATGAACTTCAGCACTTCTCGATCAGTCCACGCACATCTGGACACACATTATTACGCCGTCTCGGTATTCGATGATATATTCGATGTATGTATGTTGATGACATCAAACTGACGGTCTGTCGAATTGAAATTGGTGGATTCCGCTGACCGCTGAGAGCATTCCCTGGCTATTTGGAAAAACGTGGATCATCAACATTTTCCACGACAAAAACTGTACTACTTTGTTCCAGTTGTACACTGACAAAGCCAGACTCATCTACGTTCATTCATACGCGTTTCTTTTACCTTCGCTCGCGGCTGTTCCTTTTCTGACAGATATCCCAATTCCGGTCAGACATGGCTGACACGGTAGCTGTTCTTGCGAACATGTGCAACGGATGCTTTAACGTACGAATTGATTTCAGTGGAAGAAGTGACTCACTAGAACACGACTCGGCAGAACACGCATTGTTTGAAATATCTACCATAGGAAACCTCGCATGTTCGGTAGAAGGAACAGGAAATTGGCAAGGAACGTCGAACATTAACTCCCCATTCCTAAACCTGGTCTGGCACTTGGGAGCGGACATCGCATTGTGAAGCTGTCAATCTGTCAAGCTGAAGACCGCACAGAGTAAATTCATTGTCTTTTTCGAGAATCACACCCATCTGCAAATCAATTTGGTTTCCACGAGAGACTCAATTGAATCTCTCCTTCATGATATTCTACAACAGAATGTGCTGCACACAGGCCACCTCATGTTTCAGTTGGCACGATATTCGAGGTATCGCAGCACACTCGGTTTTAGAATATCATAAACGAGGAATTCAGTTTAGTCTCTTGTGAAAACCAAATCGATTTTGCAAATCAACGTCTTCTTGTTCACCAGGAAACTAGAGTGGCCATTACAATTTGCTTGGTAGGAGTTTTGTAACAGTCGCATTTTCTGTAATGGTTTTGTCAATCATCTACGTACACAACGTTGTGCTTTTTGTTTGGGACATGATTAGCCTAGACATGCGTGTTATGGGCCCTTTTCCTGTCTTTAATATGCACTTATGCTTCTGTGTAGAGAAGATAAACCTGGGTGAGAGAATTGAATTGAGTTTTATATACGCTAGGTCATAACGGTCTATAACGCAGTTTAAATTAAGTGACGGTTTTTTCATAAAATGTATCACCTTTGCCTAGCAGTGTACCAGTTCACACCCATATTTCTTCTTCACCTCATTTTTCAGAGCAAGCCCGGTGAATGAACGGACGTCGGGAACGGACAGGATGACACTGTGATGCACTAAAATGACAGAAGGAGGTCTTGTTGATCCTGTTTTTCCCATTCTGGACGAAATTGTATCGTGACCGGAAACCAACTTCAGCAACCTTGTGAGTGGTATTTTATACGCGAAAAGGTAGGTTTTAATTTCGTTAGAAGGCCGAGTGAATATGTCTGAGGTAGGTCAGAAAATCATTCTTTTCCTGCAACCACAGCCTAGTTGGAAATTGACAAAGTTCAAGTACTGAAACATTTAAGCATGAAACATATCGTCAGACCTTACGAGACTATTATGAAGGCGGAATAAGGGCCGTGAAAACTGCGCAACCGGCCACATTACAGACGGGATATTGTCTGGCGAAAATGTGTAGATAAGAACTAAGTGCACTAAAAGCAAGATATCTGTGACATTTCGTACCAGCAGTTTCCGAATAGTAGCCCTCACATAACAGGCTGCGTACACTCAGTGGGAACGCTGTCATCATCAATCATCATCATCTTGACAGCATAACATCAACGTTCAAAACTGACGTTTCGCTGCCGCATGCAATTCATGGTTCTACGGAGGTTTAGGTACCACCAGGTAGCCCAAACCTAGACAGGAAGACGATTAGGGTCCTCGACCGAAGTCTCTGTTTCAAAAGCCTGACCACAAGGCAAAGGTACCTGGTAGGTAATGCAGATGGATTACCACTGTTATAGAACAAGTCGCTGTACGTGTTCCAACCCCCAACCTGGAGAAACAAGGGACTGTGTTGGTCAGATTTCTAACCACTGACCAAGCTGGCACGAGATAGTGTGAGATTTGCACAGCTCAACGTGTCGTGGAGGCAAATTGTCACACCGCGGTTAGTCCTAGTCTGACGGACGCTTTCATGTGACAGGTGTTTACAGATGAGAGTGAAAATAAAAGTGAATAGCCCATAATAAACGAAATAATATACATGAAAAAGCGAGAAGTGGGCGCACTTTGTAATGAAATCTGTCACCCCTGTATATACAGTAATCTACGTGCAAAGATTACTTGTGTTGTCCCTCAAATTTGGCACTTTTACACAGCTGATTGGCTCCGAGCGATCTGTTTGTTTGTTCTAACCCTCAGTCATACCACTTTTACAATAAGAGACAGAAAGACTTGTAGATGCACGCAATTTTCTGTGAGATTCTTCTATTTTCCATAAAAGCAATGTGGCGTTGCATTAATAGCAGCACGATGTATTTAAACCTTCAGCGCAGCGTAATCAATAATCCTTGCTGACGTAGGCAAATTCATCAATAACTCATTGTCCAAGTATCGACATATCTAGCCTGGTATCCAAGTATTACGACTCTGTCACTGAAGCTTCCGTCAGACTAATAATAATAAGATTTTTTTACTACATACATTCCCCCAAATAAACAAAGCTCTCCAGCCAGAGAAAGACGTCAGTTGGATAGGATTTTTAGGAATGGATGCAGCCAAACGAATTTGACTTCCTTTAAATGTGATCCCTTCAGACAGGATGTTTAGTGCTGACAGAAGCTTGAGTAGATCGAAAACGTTACTCCTCTTGACGAATGACTTTGAGGGTGTTACCTGTGAATGGAAGGACAAATCTTGCTTAAAACTTGTGCAGACTTGTGCGTTGTGCTCCTGACGAAGTCCGATTTCCCTATTTGATGTGGTTGGTGTGTGTGAAACTTGTTTCCGGTGACTATATATCGCTGCCAATGAAAAGCCCGCTGATCAGAAAGAAATCAAGCATTTTTTGTTTCTCGAAAACTGGACCAAAATTAGCAAACAGATCAATTTTAGCTGTAAAACAAATGGGCCAATCTATCGGCAAAGTCTACTAGAGTCGTATAGTTTCATACGCTAAGCTCGAAATAGATGACACGATCCAGTGGGCATTAAATCTCCGTTTTTCTGTTTGTTTTTGGTGTTTACTTTGCTGTGTTGTGTACTTATGTTTTGGCCTTTGCAAGTTTTTGACTTGACCTTGTGAAGCACGCGCTTGTCAACCCATCTATGTGCCCATTTGGGACATGAATATTCACTGATTCAACAGATTTCAAACAAAGATAGAAATGGTAAGATCAAACTCTTGGTTCGGTGCCAAGCTCAGGTAATCCGTCCTGCGAATCCGATAGTCCAGTAACAAGTAAATCCATTTATAGACAATTAACTGAAGAACATATGACGAACCTAACTGCCAATGCGCTGAATTAATTATTTCTGGCGTTCGCTTCCAATTTGTCCAAATTAAAATGTGATGGTTGGACAAGCAACAGATAAAGAGTTCGGGTTTGGTTTTCCACCAGCCTTATTCATGTTCCTGAAAGGCAACCGTAAATGATATAATTACATATATATGACAGATGTGGACTACTTATCAAGAAGATCCAATCGGTAAATTATTGCCAATTTCTGTAGCCTACCTGCAGTGTCATTGTGATTTTTTCTTTCTAGTTCGGGGGTAAGTAATCTCCTAGTAACCTCCTGCAGATGATGTGACATGCGCTACTAAACAAGCAGCCTTGGTTCTGACCCCTCAGAACCAACAAAAAAAGGGGCTTTTGATTGAACAGGACCCTCCGTAGACCTCACATGACATTAAGCATTCGGACCTTAAACGACTGCATTTTTGTTCCCTTCATTACTCGTTCAATGAAACTGCCGTGTGGCACAAAATTCAAAATAATAATGAAAGCTTTTCGTGCGATTTGACGAGTAAAGTCGGTAAATTCTTTCAAACCAAATCGGTCCCAGACATTCGGATAAGATAGTCCGCATTAATTTTGTCTAATTTTTGCATCCTTTTTCATTCTTAACACAAGCTAATTTTGAATAGACATCATTCCATATCACACTTAAACATTTCTTGATAATCCACACTGGCAATTTTAGTGTTTCATTCAGTTTATCGAATAAATCACCAGGGAGACTTTCAATGGGACAAGATCTCGTTCAGACTTGTTTGGCTTTCAAAATCTTAGCATTACAGACTGTTTTCCTTGTCATGCGAGACAAAGTGAAGTATTTTGAATTCGCTAACGATGTCTGATCCTGACGGGTGGTTGCTCATCCCCTATGGGAATGAATCCACTGGTAAAACATTACCTGGATCTCAGGTACAAAAACACTTCTAAAGGAGTCAAGTTGTAGCCCATGTTACGTAAGGATATGTTGAACTTTCCTGGGTCTCTTATGTGATGCCTCCGTACCGTAACAAAATTCAGTAAAGAGTGTCACTGGTGGCAACGGAGCTTTCATTCCCTACCTTGGTTGGTATTTCCTCCAAATATCATTGTAAAACGGAGAAAGCGCACAAAAATGTGGGGTGTCTAATAATTTGTGGTAGTTCTTACCACTTCTGCACATAAATGAAAGTCATCAGAGTTTACCTCTTCGGAAGAGTTGGAAGCGCCCCAAATCGCAACGCACTTCGACTCACAACGCACTGACAACGACTGACAATGAAATGTTTAGGACCGAGTCACCTAGCTTATCAAAAAAATCAACGGCCACTGATCGAACGTGCACAATCAGTGAGTTGCAAAATTATACGGATGGGCTAACAGTTGTTCCAAACTAATCTTCACGTCATATAGAAATTAGTCCATCCTACTAGTTGGTCTGTATGTGTGAAGTTACATCCCACCCAGTAAGCTCACTAATGAAGGAAAACGATGAGAGTGAGGAGCATTTCGGGATGCAACCACATCTTTACCATACGGTTCTGAAGAAATTCCAAACTCGGCTTCATCCCTAAATATCAAGGACTCATTTTATATCATATTTCCTATTACATGTTGCAAGCCAAATAACAAAACGAATACGCTAGCGGGTACCACCATCATCATCATCATCATCACCATCAACAACAACAACAACATCATCATCGTCATCATCATCATCATCCTCATCACCATCATCATGATCATCATCATCATCACCATCATCGTCATCATCATCGTCCTCATCGTCGTCCTCCTTCCCCTCCTCCTCCTCCTCCTCATCATCATCATCATCGTCATCATCATTATCACAAGCAACGGTATGCGGCACTCACAGCGCCATAACGCCAACGGTTAGTCCCAACTAAACCTCCATATTAAACGGAAAAACAGCAAAATCGAGTGCACAGAATTAGAGTTCTAGCATTTCTTTTTTCCATTTCTGCTAGAACCCCAACTCGACATTTTGGGACTACACGTGGGCACCATAGTTATTTTTTTAGATTGACATTTATAAGGTATTTTTTCAATCTGCGGTTAGGCGTAAAAGTGCTTGTCGATTTCATTGTGGATACCCAGCTTCACTTTACATCTTTTAGCACTGCTGTTTAGGAAATGTGCGAATCAATGGTAAGTCGACTAGATACCAAAATGAACAGCACCGAGTGAATTTCATAAATTCCTGTACAAAGTGAACTGTTACTTCTGCCATAATAAATGGTTTTTCTCATATATGCACTGGTCAGAGGAAACAAATTCTGACTGGCCGTTTCCAGTCTGAGATATTTCGACGCACACGTTCCATTGTGCCCACAAAAGCTTGCGTAA